TTAAAATGGGTGGCATTTATCAATACGTAAGGCAGCGTTGTGGGCATAATCCATCAAGACATGCATTAGGTCCTCTGGAACACCGCATTGATCACAGTTCGGTGACTGGACTTTTTTCATAAGGAATGCAAATTTTCTAGATGGAATGTGTCCAGTACGAAGCCTTATTATCACTACTGCATCCTTTCGCGATAGCTTATGATTATCAATCCATGGTATTTTAGGCGGATGTGACTGTACCATCTTGTACCAAATACTATTTTCTTTTGAACGTAAATCGAAATATTCTTTCCATAGGTTGTAACATAGCCTTATTATTATTGTGGCTGCAGAATTTGATAAGGCTTTGTTTTGTATTCTGAACTATTACTACCGGAGACTTGACATGAATCTGTTTACCATGTTTTTATTAACTCGCTGTCGTATAATATGTCTGTTCGGGCTGAATTTAGTAATTGATTTTAAACTAACTTCCCGATGAGCTTGACACTTGAAATTTTGAACATTGCTCATCATCGGATGACAATGTAAGAATATGAAAAAGCGGTATATTAAAAAAATACACATATTTTATTTAAATTCACTTCTTACTGATAACGATGCATCCAATTTAAGCCTTGAGTTTGAGTTTCTATTTTTAATCAATGAATAAGTACTCGTCTACCCTCACTGTTGCGCTTACAGTAGCAGCCTCCCCCATATATTGTCTTTTAGGGGTGATATTTACCACAGTTGCCACGCTTGGCAGGCGAGTTCGCAGCCACAATTTTCTTTCATTTTTATTAGAAAGATGCTGCCGCCTATCCCGGTATTTGTTTGTTTTTCTTTGTCGCCTCTTACAAAACCCACGGGATAAGATGGGATATCCTCAAGAAATTTTTTATCGTGTGGTAGCGGTGTAAGAAAATCCGGGACGGGTTTTTGTTCCGCGAGTCTCGTAAAAACCGTCTATGGGAAATACCATAAAGTATGTGGCGCATAATATATGTGGCGTCCTATAGACGGCGGTATACCATCTCATTTATGCCAGATATGAAATATTCGGACGGATTCTTTTAATTAGAAAGGAAGCATTCAATTTATTAGTCCTCAGGAGCGACAACGTATCAGTCTATGCTCGTGTGTTAACCTTATATTACTTAAATATTTCAGATGAAGCATCATCCCTGGTGATGAATATAATTTTTTATAACGTTAGGGTAGCAAATGAGTTGGTCAACTGATGGTAAACGACTACTGCAAGCGATAGAAACAGTACACTCTAAGTATAAGAGCAAAGAAAACTACTTTACGGAACTTAATTTTCTTTATCTTTACGTGGTAGAGCCATGCTGCAGTTATATTAGTAGTATAGTTGTAGCACGAATGGGTCGGCTCGACCGGGGAAGGACCATGCTCTCAGAGAATACCAGCGTGAAATGGTAGCTTGATGCTGCTGTGTTTCGTATGGTGAGTGTAAGAACCCTTTATACTGGAAATGGGGCATTCAATCTTAGTCCTCACGGGTGACAACGCATCTGCATTTTGATTCGTAATCGAAGACAGATGTAGATGTAGATGTGACACTGCAACCACTTACCATCAGGTGGACTGTGTGCTCGTTTGTCACCATATCCTATAAAAAAACTTTTTTATACAAATAAGTTTAGATGGGTACTCATCGTGTAGTAGCGTTGTAAGAATATCAAATATCCGGATGGCGTTTAGTCTCTAACAGCGTGTTCCTTTGTTTCCCACTGCATAATTATAATAGAGGAAGTATTTTGACACTGTACAGTCTACATTTACCTCTGCCATGTTCCTATTTGTTTATATTAGCTATTAACAAAACGAAGAATCTTCTAAAATAATTAAAACTACCCAGATTTACCGCCCTTATTAGACATCTAGAAAATACATTTAACAAACATAAAAAATAACAAAAGAAAAACATGTACGTGGTAAAGCCACGGTGCAGCTATATTATGTTTGTAGCATAAAAAGCCATGACCTTGGGTGCTGTAAAGCTCCCGAAACGTGGTAAACGAAAAAGTTTAAAGCAAAACGCTACAAAATTCGTAAAATCATTTATTTCATAGGAGTAATATCAATAAACTGCTCGTAAAAAGTGTGTGGACATATTTTTTACTCAGAAATAATATTAACAGCCTGCAACGAACACACGATTTGTACGTAATAGTGCCACGGCGTAGCTACTCGAATATTATGGTTGTAGCACGAATGAGTCGGCTCGTCCGGGGTAGCAGCTTAATGTTGCTGAGCTTCGTTTTGTGAGTGTAGAGAACTGGATACACTATTTACTGGAAAGCCCTCATGTCAGTTCACAGGGGTGAGAACTCATCTGAATTTTGATTCTTCTTAATTGAAGATAAATGTAGATATCTATGGGTCACAACATTCACGCACCATCGGGTGGACAGTGTGCTCGTTTTTCACCCTCATTCCATTAAAAAAAATCTGCAATTCCCCAGGTCTTGCAGTTAACGACATGCGATGGTCGACACTTATACCACCAGGTGGGCCGCATGCTCTTCGATAAAAAAATTAACAGCCTACATACTCATAATTAGAAATAGGCCTTCTCTCGTTTTTAAGGGAATTAAGGAAAATTAGGCTCCGTTGCTTTAACGAAAATTTACTTAATTTCATCATCATCATCATCATCAGAACCTATAAAAGACATAGGCCTCCCTCATAGAGTGGATTTTGCCATAGTTGCCACACTTGGCGAGTGGGTTGTCAACCGCAGTATTTTATTATTTTGAGTTGTTATCAGGAAGCTGCTGCTGCCCAGCACCTGTTCCTGTTTCAGTTCCCTTCTGTCGCCTCTTACGGCAATCACGGCACGATATGCGCTAGTGGATGTTCTTACACCACCACTACACGGTTTACTTACTTTACATCCTTCGAAATGATAAAAATTACTTTGATTCAACAGTGTTGCGGCAATGTTGCTGTTTAAACTAAGTCATTCATAATAGCTGCAGGCCAATTTCATTTATTCTCTTGTTTTCATTTTAGTCTAGAATTTATTGTGCTGGATTCACGCGTAGTTACAAATATACATTTTTTCTGGTCTATTTCATGTCTAAGACATGCAGTTTCCTCGCGATATTTTTATAACAACTAAACAATAATTCTGTATTGGTTCTGAAAGGGATCGAAGACGGTTTCCTTGCAACCTATAAAATTTTAAGGTTAATGATTATTCCCTGAGCCACCACGGCTACCAATACAATATTTTTATTTCTTTTGACTCATCATACGAAACACACCAGCATTAAGCTGCTATCTTAAGCTGTTAATCTGTGAGAGCGTGATCCTACCCCGGTTGAACCGACTCATCCGTGCTACAAGCAATGTACCTGCAGCGTTTCTCTACCACGTATAAAACGTCATTGAAAACGTTGTAATTAACCAACTCCTCCTTTCATCTAGACAAAGACAAGTTAATATGTAAAGAATTATATAAAAATAAAATAAACAGGTACCTGCTATACTGCTATATACATCGGTACCGGGAAACTAAGAGGTGGGTGTCGCACTAAGCTTAAGCACTGCCCTCGCATTGGGCGGGTGTCTGTAATTTCACCGCCCTGCCTCAAATGAAAGGGATATCGCAGTCGGAAGCTCACATCAGTTGCGCGAAATAACGCAAACTGGCAACATCGAAGTGCAAATACAGTGCTAAAACTTTGAGAAGCCTATTTTAAATATTGGTGGCTCCTGACGTTTCAAAATCAAGTCTACAATCGCAAAAGGTAATTTTTAGATAAATTATAGTTGCATTCGATACTTCTGTGAATTCAATTTTTTTCTGTTAAAAATATTTTAGTGTTTAAATTAAAAGTACCTTTAAAGTTATTTACATTAAAAAACATAATTTTCGAATTACGAGGTTTATTGAAAATAATTTGATATTATAGTTGTAAATTATATCGTTAAAGATTATAAACCTAAATTAGTTACATTACGGTGGAATCACCGAAATCTGAAGAGAAATAATAAATGACACAAAATATAAGCAAAGACAATAGAGCACCAAAGCGACCATCTATAAATGTTTCACTTTCGGTGGAAATGTATGTATCATAAGTAATATTATAACGACGATCCACGTTTTCTTTTTATTTCAATAGAAAATCAGTCACGTTATTAACAAATTCTGTTTATAGACGTAGAGTAATGCCAAAAAAGGTAATCACGAAATCTAAACCTGATAGGTGGTGCTGTGATCGAGTTATTGTTAAGTTTTTACTTATCTTATCGGCAATTATTAAATTATTATTTACACTTGTCGTAAAGAGCCGAACAACATATCTGGGTCCAAGTCTGCTAGTTATGTACAGAGTAGTTGAAAATAGAGTAGAAAAGAATGACAAAAGATGCAGGTGGCTCAGAACCGTGCTTTGTGGCATTTCTTGGGGAAAATTTATCTTCAGCAGTAGTCTTGTGAAGGGCTTTAATGAATGTATGAATAAAATGAATGTTTATTTCAATATAAAAGCTTATGTATATTATTCAATACCTCTTCATAAGTCAAAAGATCCAAAGCCCACTGGTGAATATAGGACTCGCCACGCTTGGCAGACGGAATGACGGTCGCAGTACCATGTGCTCTCGTACTTTCGATGCTGTTGTCCATCGCTGGCGTAAGAATTTTATGTTTGGGGTACGCGAAGTGGTTATACCGCCACCTATCGAAAGCCATTAGTATTTATTGGCATTGACAATAGTCACCTCCTACGACAACCGCGGTTTGTTGGTGACGTATGTGTGTCCATCACCCCATTTTGAAATACAATGATATATATTTTTTCCGTTGTTGCAGATATCATAAAATAAATAACCGTACACAGTCTTACAGCATACATTCTCAAGTATTGCCCCAAACATCTACATTTCAAGAAACCGGAAAACAGATCAATGATTCAGTGGTGACAACTCCAAATACATTTTCTGATTTTTTCGAAACTAATCCATCTCCGAAATTTGAAAATATGTATAATTTAACAAAAACCAATATAGACAGTAAATATAGAAACCAATCACAGCCAAATTTAGAACCAAATTCATTTGGCAATACGGAAAGTGTAGAAGCCAAAATAAATGTCGAATATTCAGACGAAACTTTGGACCAAAACCGTCCTTACAACGTTTATAATAGAGAAAATACAGAAATTATATTTAATTTTGATGATAATCAAGAAATTTCCAATTTGAATAAGTTAAAAATTATCACATGTAAGCTACTTTCAAATAGACCCGTCGATAATGAAGAACATAAAGCTATAAAAAAGGCTGTTTTCAGTTTTATTAATAAACTTAACAATAAAAATGACCAAAAAAGATCAGTAAACACACAAACTGATGAAGTCTCAGTTATTTCTATTGAGGAATACAATGTCATTAAAATTATGATAAGAAATAATATAATGAAAGTTTTATCACACACAACACAAAAAAATTCCAATGACAGCTTGGTTAATAACCATTCACAAAACACAAGGAATGAAAATATATTGAATTTTGGCAATGAATCTCGTTGCGAAGCAATTTTCAAACAATCAGAAAAAAACAAATCAATAATCATGGGTGTATATAACTCCGTTATTAAAGAAATGCTACATCCTGCAATCAAAAATGAAGAAAATATGAAGACCAATTTTAATAAAACGTTTACTTTAGTATCAGATTTAATTGGTGAAATTTTGAATAATGAAATACCAAATTATGCAATAAACTTACCAGATAAGTTATCTTTCACTGATATCAACAAAATTAATATAAAAATTGATATGAATGATGAAACGAGGCTTTTATTATCTCAACATATAAAACAGCTTCAGGATTTTCGACAGAACCAACAAATCGGGTATAAATTTTCCACTCAACAGCAACACGAAGAACCACAATTTAGAATGCAGCAATCTAACAACAGATATGCGCAAGTTCAAGGCGTAGGAACGTACAACACGAACAACTGGCCTAGGGTATGCAAATACTATTAAATTTCATTTTGCCTAATTTATAATTAAAACTTTACAAAAAGTATTAATTACACGTAAATATATGCATCTTTATGAATTGAAATATTTAATGTAACTCTAATTTTATAGATTATAATAAATATTAATCAGAAATTAAATTTAAAATTGAAAAGGTATTTTTTTCTTATTTATAATATATAAGTTTCTTTATAAATCTATTTTCTTTTTGTAGGGTCATAACCTAGAGGCTACAAACGTACAACTCCCCACACAAAAAATAACACCTAATCAGAGTCACCACATTGGAGTTTTGGAAGCTGTTCCCCACCCAAAAGGTCAAACCAGGCGCTCGTATTCTCTTGGAGATTCAGGTAACTATAAAAATTATAATAATCAACGACAACATCCGTATCGCAATCAAAACCACGATATAAACAGGCCTCCAGGCGCTCAGGGTCAATATGATTTCAACAGTAATGTAATGGTGTTACATCAACAACAACAACAACAACAACAACACCTTCAACAGAATGCTATACTGGTGCAACAAAATAATAACTGGCAACAAGATGCCGCTGGCCACAAGCAGTTTAATATACCACATAGTTTTTAAGCGCTTTCATTACATACATTTCTTTATATGTACGTACTCAATTGTGCCAATTTTATTTTAATTTCAAATACATGAATTTATAAAATTTGTATTCGATTTATATCTATTTCTGTTGTCTATATATCAAATTTTATAAAAATTTACCTTCACGAAATTACTGATGTGTTACTTACATACGTAAGTATGTACGTGTTGATGTTAAAAATAATATTAAAGAACTAAAAACATAATAATATATTTAAAAAAACTCTTGATGTTGTGAATAATATTAGCTATTATCATTCTCATGTAATTAAATATTATACTTATACTTTTTAAAATAAATGTTATTGCACTTTCCTGTTACATATGAAATTACAATTACATTTATTGACATTCGTATATCGATAAAATCTTTTATCAAATTACGTCCAGTATAGGTGAAATAATAAAAATATTGATATTTGTGTGCAACTTTCTGTTTTAAATTGCTAGGGTGGATAGATATTTAAGACTTCAAGAAAAATGTACACTTAGTTAAAAGACGTATATAAATTTAAGACTAATGATGTAAGAAACACTCTATTTTTTATTTATGCTGTATAGTGGTGGTAAATGACGACACAGGACAATTAAACACGAGGTGGGCAGCAGCCTTTTTCTGGTAACAAAACAAAATAATAAAAAAACTGCGAATGCCAACCTGCCAGCCCATTGTGGCAGATATGGCAGTTATACTCCTCAAGAGCCAATCTATGGAGGAGGTCTATGTTCAGCGATAGATTTTTGATAGGTCGTGATAAATGAATAAATGAATTTTCTTATTTATGATAGGGTTAAGTTTTCCCATGGCTGGACATAGACCACATTTAATTTTTATATAGATTTATAAACATATATCTATTATTTGAAGTTGACGAGTGTGATATGTGTTTTTGATACAACGTTTAGAACTTACAAAATACGCTAAGATTATCAACATGAAAATCTTAACCTGAAATCAATATAATAATAATCAATATGGTTTTAGAAAGTGAGTCTTATATATGAAGAAGCGCGAAAGCATCTGGACAGTGGCAACGACGTCTCACCTGAATTACCTCACTTCAGGACCTTTATGTCCGAGGTTCGTGTCACAAATAAGTTCGTGTCATAAATAAGTTCATAAAATCTTGCGGTGTCTAAATTTAAATAAAGCTATTGGACCAGATGGTATACCAGCTATAGTTCTTAAGGCTGAGTTGTCTTCTGTGCCGATAGGCTTGTTCCGCTTTTCATTTAGGACTGGAATAGTGCCAAAATTCTAGAAGCTCGCCAACGAGCAGGCTATTCCAAAACAAGCAATCATGCCGACCATGTCAATTATCGACCAATATCAATTACCTACATACTCTGCAAGATTATGGAGCGTATGAACAGAATGACCTCCTCAGTGACCATGCATATTCATTATAGGATCGGATGGAAATCACAAAATGTTGAACAGGATATGTGTTCTACTTAATATATTTCATTATCATATCTACTATACTTGATAAGGTTTGTGTATATATGGTATGTATATAATGTGTAGCTATGTGTTACAAAAATATTTATAAATATGTATGTGTATGGATATGTATATATGTGTATGATTATGTATATATATATATATATATATATATATATATTATGTGTTATGCATGATTTTAACTACTATTTATGCACACTTCTATATTTTTGTATGTAAAAGATCTCCTTCACCAAGGTTTGCCTGGAAGAGATCGCTGTTTAGCGATAAGGCCACCTAATTGTACATAAATTTATCAATTTAAGTTTGTTGTTCTTTTTATTATTGTGTGTGCAATAAAGAGTATTGTATTGTATTGTATTGTAACAGGCAATTGGTACATATTAATTATAGGATCGGATGGGAATTCGTTATTAAGAGGAATGTTTGCGCTAGCTTGAGCGCATCTCCGCGCAGCCCAACGTCAACACATACAACAAAATCTCTCATGACATGAATGACAAAAATCCTGTAGATGCTTCTAAAATTGCGGGGACTGTATGATATTGCCTACTCTCCGTTGTAAGCGAGTGGTAAATAAATAGTTGAATATTTAGATTACATTTTAATTTGCAGTCACTTAATTTTCTTACAATGTATTACTCTGTTATTATTTACATTACAGATACCTTTGACTGACTATTTAACAAGGACTTTACAGAACTTAAATACGTAGATATGTAAATAATATTTTGAAATATGTTAAACTGTCAAATATAAACTCGGGTAAAGGTATATTATACATTCTGTGAATTTCTGTTGTCAATTATGATTATCAACGTCATTGAAATGGCAATGATATTAACTTAAATTTTTAGTCTTCTGTTTTACTACGATTACACCTTAGTCATCAGGGGAGGGCAACGCATCTGCATTTTGATTCTTAATTGAGGATAAATGTAGGCATCTATGGGCCACAGAATCTGTTTAAAACCATCAAGTGGAATGTGAGCTTATCTGTCACCTTCACTCTATAAAAATATCCTGAATTTACGTTATAACTATGATAAATAACTGAGTAAAGACTTAGCCTTAGTGTAACGTCGATATTCAAGAAATAATATATTTATTTTTTCTGGAAAATTAGTAATTCTATCCACATAGTTCATAAACAATCTAAACCTAAGTCGAGTTTTCAATAAATATTAAAATACTAGTAAGTAATAAAACGTAGTAAAACTTTATCTAATTACCAAAATTATTAGTATTGTATTTGTGCCATTTAACAAAGTTATTTAAAAATTAAACTATCATCAACATTATTCAAGTGAAAAGTAAACTTTGAAAATACATATTATGACGCACTGACACCGACTGACCTTGTTAACATCCCGTCTGGTCCAAATTCAATCATTTATTGTTTTATATGAAAAAATAAAATTTATTTTATTTTACCTGCCTTAGTAGCAACGTACATACACAAACTTTTTCTGCATATCTATCGCGCAGTATCATCTGAGTGAATAAATAAATTTCATTCCCCCTCCTTTCAAAATACTAACTAAATTTACAATTTTTGGATTTGAAGTATAATAGTAATAATAATTATGGAGATAAACACATTTCAGATTCACATATGCAGTATGAACATATGTTCAGGTATTTAACAGTAAAATATTAAGAAATAAGGTAGATATAGGTACTTGTTACGACAGTAGATTAAAGTTTAGCGTGTAAGATGAAAATAAATATATTCAAGTAAAACGATGTGATATGCTGAGTAGTTCTATAATTATAGTTAAAGATATTCTCAAATTTGCTTGTACATGTGTACTCGTATGTTTGCTGTAAATTGTATATTTTTGCTGCGCTTTTTAAAGTTCCATCAAAATATCTGAAATTTGACCAACATTTTTAGCATCAAATTATTATTTTACAACATCAAATTGTTATTCGTCAAGTATTATATATATATATATATATATATATATATATATTTCCTTGAAAATATTCTGTCAAAAGATTCGCAGCATATACAAAAACTCAGATGAGTGTGTCAAAATGTGTCAATCATGTTTTGGCCACCATAATTCGCGAAGAAAAATCTTTAACTTTCATAATGAACTCGTAGTATTTAATGACAAAAATTGATTTTCTGCGCACCTATAAAGCGTGAAAAATCTGCTTTTGGCGCCCACTTGACCATAAGATATGCTGCTGATTTACCTCTGTTGCGTTCAATATACTATGCTTTAGTTTGGTCTGTGATAGGGTACTGTCTAAACGTCTGAGGAGGAGTCTGTAAAATCTTTCTAATCCGCCTGGAAAGGGCACAAAGATCCATCTTAAAAGGCATGACCTTTAGACCATACAGATTTCCCACTAAAAGAATTGTATGAGAAATGTTGAGTATTAATTGTGAGGCAACTGTACATTTTGAAATTAATTACAAAACAGTATATAGTTACCATTTATAATGCCACTGATTATAACAAAAACCGGGTAATAAAAAATGTATGTTTACCAACAACATGTCGGACGTCCTCGGCTAGACGGCAACATGCTTATAAGGCTATATATTTATACAACAAAATTAGTAAGTTAGCAAATATACGTCCCTTAACTAGTAGAAAAGTGAAAATTAAAATTAAGAATTGGCTATTAGGATTAGATTATGAATAAACTAAATCGATATTAGTATAAAGCAAAATAACAAACATGCAAAAATAACAGAGATTTTAAAATTACTTTATTTACATAAAATAATTAGCTGTCATTATATTAGGATCACTGACTCTCGTAACACAAGTTTTCTAACCTATCTCGGGAGTTAGAGGCTTAAAAAATATTATAACAAACTTTATGTCAATAAAGATTATTATTATTATTATATACTTAAAAATGTCCGTAGTGCCGGTGAAAATCGAACCTTAGTACTGAGGGCTAACATAAGGTAATCATCCACCCGCCACATGTCGCTAGTTGGTAGTGAGATGAACTTACTCGCCACAGATGGGCACACAGTGTTATTGTTATTGAAAGTTACGTTTTAAATAAAAGTTTTTCGGTCTAGCGTATCCTACATATACACAAAACAATATCTGAATAGCGTGCTCTTTAATTTTTTAAACATATTTAGTATATTTTTTTACTCTTTCACTGTTAGGAATATCTGTATTTTCGTTAATCCATTTCTTGTATATTTATTAAATTACAAAGAAACATTCACCTCCACACATTTAAATCAATTTAAATCATTCCCCTTAAGCATTAAAATATTTCACCTTTTTCATTTCAAAGTGGCGTTGACCTGTTGGCGAAAAAATGTGGAAGCTTTCTGCGAGCGCTTACTTTAGCCTGAGCTAAGGTTTTTGTTTCGTTATCCATATTTATATAATTATTATTAAATATGATGATTTTTTGTAATATATATAATTTTTAAACATTAGATAATTATTATTTAATTTCGTAAATATGCAGTAGCAGGTTAAGCGCACTTACGTACCTGTTATTATCAATAAATAAATTATAA